TGTGGGCGTGTATGACGTCGTTGGGGCTGATGAGCGCCGCATCCCGTCGCACGGTTTCAGCAGAGGAACTGGAGGTGTGGATTGAATCGCCTATTCACCAAACGTACACGAGGCCCCCCTTGCCCACTGTGTTATCCTTAGAGTCCATGCTGATCGACAAATTTGATGTCTACTGCTGGTGCTCCTTCGTCTTGGATAAAATGCATATGCTCTCGGACCTCCTCAAAGTGGGGCTGCGTATCCTAATGGCTTCAGGGCGCTTGGAACTCATGGTAAGCACTGCATCGCTACCCTAGCGAGAGCGCTAGGTACATTCTAACATACGTTTATCTAATTCATGTGGAATTATAATTTATATTTACTGAGTTAGCCTGGAACTATTGTATCTGACCAACATACTGCCCGTGATTTGAGTTTTTCCTTTGTGAGGATTACTCCCTCGATCTCAAATGCGTACGAGTCGGAGGCACCAGTTTGGTGCATTCCAGCGTAATGGGTGAGTCTGCCTTTTTTTCAGGGGGCGAAACTGAATTTCCAGCGCGAGGAGTTTAGGAATTTGCGGGGAACGGCGAAGACGTNTTTTTTCAGGGGGCGAAACTGAATTTCCAGCGCGAGGAGTTTAGGAATTTGCGGGGAACGGCGAAGACGTTTGTGGCGTCTCTGCAAGAGCGTTATACGTATCATTTGTTGAATTCAGTTTTCTCGTCTTTGGGCCAGAGTTCGCTGTTGAATCTGCCGCGAATGCCTTTCGAGCTGGGGAAGAACACCATTGGCCTGGCGGCAAATGCAGTGGACAGCGTAAGTGCTGGCCTGGGGAGCTTGCTTTCAACATTCACTTTTGACTCGGAGTACATCAACAGACGGCAACGAGAACGCGTGCGGAACACAGCGAGCATGCGAGACGGCTTCCTCTCTGCGGGAAAAAACATCGGAGAGGGCGTCTGGTCTCTGACGAATATCGTAACCAAACCCATTGAGGGTGCACAGCGAGAAGGTGTAGGTGGGTTCTTCAAAGGTATCGGCAAAGGCATCGTTGGATCGCTAGTTAAACCCCTCGATAAAGTCGGGCAAGCCGTATCAGATGTCACAAGAGGCATCAAAGCGGAGGTCTCCAAGCCTATTGGAGCTTACAAATTCAGAAATGAACGAAGGCGCAAACCCAGAATGCTAGGGGAGCTTGGAGAAATCAGGTACGAGTGGTCAATGA